ATTTATTTTAAAAATAAATTTGAAATTAAATTTTTTTTTATTCTAACATTTGTTTTACACAATTTTTTTTTATATTTAGACATGCATATTTTCAGACTTCTATTGATCAGGTTTCTGTTAATAAATAATTTATTTATATTATTTCATTAAGCTTAAGATGCGGAAAAAAAATCCGAATGTTGCCCTCGAACTACCGAACAATTATATTCTCGCCCCGGACCCTCGAATACGCCGGACCGGCCCTGGATTTAAGTTGCATTAGAAAACTAACCCAAATGACTACAATTTTCGTGTTTCGAATTTTGCCAAAATCAAAATAGAAATATGTCAAAATCAGGTTCGAAGTCAAAACGACATTAGTAAAATTGAAACGACATTTAACATTTCAGTATATATAATCGTAAATTGCACGAACTTGGTACTTAGGAGTTAGGATTAGGAAGCTTAATTATTCCATGCGTGTTCCGCATTCGATTCTTAGGAGTTCATACATATATGACCGCTTTGTACCAATTGTTGTGTATGAAGGATTTTCTTATAATGTTTATCATTTACTTAATTTGTGATCTTTTATATGTTTGAAGTAGTTTATAATTACATAGATGTACGTAGTATATAAATCCTCTCGTCCTTTATTTACTTTATTTTCATGGCTTCTCATAGTAGTTCTTCTCAAATTAGTGGTTTAAAATTAGGAACATATTTAGACTTCCGAAAGTGAAAAACTAAATTATAATTTTGTTCCAGAAAAGAAATCAGAAAAATTGAAAACCAAAATTTTATCCATACATCAGAATTTTTTTGATCGAACTCGACAATTTCATTTTTTTTTAATTATTCCCTCAAAACATATTTCTCCAAAATAAAATGAAAATAACTCCCAAAACGAATTCAATATTGCAATTATCTTCTTGCTTTGAGAAGTAAATTCATTTTCATAAATCCAAAAATAGAAATACAGTAGAACCTCGATAAATTAATAACTTCGTTTAAATAATAATTTCTTATGGTCGCGACTCGGTGAAAACGTAGTAAATTGTTATCTCGATAATTTAATATTTCTCGAAAATTAATAGAATTTTGTAAATTCATATAAATTTAATTGTAGAGCAGGTGACTAACAAATTGCAGGAAAGGACTTGTACTTTAACAAATATCAAACTCGGACCCCATAACTTCTGTATAATTTTCTTTCTTTAAATTTTCGCAGAGTTCAAAAAAAAAAAAAATAATAATAATAATAATTTGATGGCGCCCCACGACCTCCGCCGCCCATTCAAAAGGGCAGCAATCTCCGACCAACAGCGGCGGAGAGAGCTTACCTTGCAACGGCAGTCCCAGCACCGCCGCGACGCCCAGCACCAGGCCCGATGCTTGGCCAACAGTATTCTCTCCCTTCAAAACGACGCCGTCGCCGACATCGAGCCAGAATTCGAAATTGAGCCCCAACCAGAAGAAGAACACGCTCGTGATTTCGATGTCCGACAAGCGGCCCGACTAAGAGGGCCCGAAGCCCGACTATGGTTCGCCAAGCAGCTAATGCTACCAGAGTGGATGATTGATGTCCCTGACAGATTAAGCGTCGATTGGTAACGCCATTTTCCCTAATTATTTTCTGTAATTGGATTCGTTAAATTCAAATTAACTCTGTAATTATTTGTAAATTCGGCAAAAAAATTAGTTAGCTGAAAGCTATAACTGAAAAAGATGAGAACTTGCTTCTAATAGTCAAATTAACTATGTAATTATTTGTAATTTCGGCAAAAAAATATTTGCTGTGATTGGATTCGTCAAATTCAAATTAACTCTGTAATTATTTGTAAATTCGGTAAAAAATTAGTTAGCTGAAAGGTTTAACTGAAAAAGATGAGAACTTGCTTCTAATATTCAGCCCCTTTTATTATCATCTGTACAGGTATGTATGTGCTAGGCCAGCTGGCAAACGTTGTTTCGTAGTGTCGTCAAACGGGACAACAGTTAGTAGATTACGAAACGGCAGTCAATTGCACCGATTTCCGTCTGCTTTACCCAACGGTGCCAAGACCAATAACAGTTCTCGCTCCGGCCAATCTTACTGCATACTCGACTGCATATTTCATGAGGTAGTACTATTAGTTTTTTCGAATCTCGTCGTGTATTTGTTAATCGAAATATGTACGATGACGTAACGGTAAAATGCGTTGCACGTTGTGCAACAACTCGCAGCCTGATCAAACCTACTACGTAATCGACATGGTGTGCTGGGCGGGAATGTCACTGTACGAATGCACCGCAGAGTTTCGATTTTTCTGGTTGAACAGCAAACTTGCCGAGACGGGGGCTTGCAACGATCCCTCGCCTTACCATAGATATAGTTTCAAGACTGTCGTCGTATACAACTGCGACCAGGAGGGTTTACGAGCAGCTTATACGGGACCCGTGCCGTATCTGAAGGATGGACTCTTGTTCTCCAATAAGTGAGTTTTTTTTACTATCGAGGAAGTCGTAAATGCCCGATAGTTGTTTTGGTGCTTATAACTGAAACTGTATACTGTGTGATCATAATGTCATTCCAAGAATTTGTCTAAAGTTGCTATACTGCTGTCTAAGATCTCGAGTACGGGATTACTTTCGACTTGTTTTGTTCATAGTCATTAATCTATATAGCCCTTCCAATTTTATTTATTCTAAAATTTGTACTTTCTTTGATACATTCAGGCATGCACATTATCAATCGGGAAATACCCCGCTCGTTTTAGTCTGGAAGGATGAGAACTGTAGTCAATATGTTCTTGATACAGATAGTAAGGGACAGGTTCCAGATCAACAACAGGTACATATGAATTCACTCGCTTCGAGTTCTTGAAGATTGTGATATAAATTAGTCCAACCGTAATTCGAAAGAAGTCAACTTTACGGTGAATTTTATTTTTTTATTCACTTTGCTAAATTATCAGGTAGTGCTGGAGCTACTTGATGATGGGAGGCTGGCTACCTCAGATGATCCTACTGTTATATTTGGTTGCTTGGATAGGGACTTCATACAAAAGGTTTGATCGTTTTATTTTTTTAAATTTAAAATACAAAATTAAGACGCCGATTATTCAGTGGTTTAAATAGCATCTTTTATCTTGGATATAACAATTTTCTGACAGTTGGGAAACTCTTTCTACTTCGCATCTTTTAGAATTTGTCTTTTCTTTTTGAGATAAGGATTTGGTTATTAATTAATTTGTTTAATTATTCCTTATCCAATGGTTCGGGACTTGGGTTTTGCGTATTTCTCTTTTACTGCCGAAAGCGGCTTGTCTGAAAATGAAATTGTACAACTACAACTTTAGATTAGTTCATACCGAAATTTATTCAGCGAACAGTACAATTTCATTTTCAGACAAGCCGCTTTCGGCAGTAAAAGAGAAATACGCAAAACCCAAGTCCCGAACCATTGGATAAGGACGTATTTGCCTATTTGGCTAAGCTTATTGGAAAGATCGTTTAAGCAGCTACATTTATTACATCTTTTTGGAGTTTAATTTTTTTTTGAATTTATAAGTTCTCAGCGAGTATTTAATTTTCTTAAAAGAACTTATTTGATCTAAAAGTAAGTTGTTTAAGACTCTCGGACAACATTTAAAATCTTGTATACCACTACTGCCAATGCTCATTTCGTCGACAAACAAAACCCGACACCAAATTTTAATTATAATATTTAGATTAATGGTTTTCAGACGGGACTTGTGGGCAGTAATCTCCTACGGTTTGCCATCAACGAAGGGGGACTGTGTTTTGCAGATGGGAAATTAGAGAGAGCTGATTTACACTACCTTGGAAAAACTAATCGAGCTCGAACTTTTGCCGACAGCTATTCAAAGGTAAGTGAGAGCCGATTTGGACTCCGAAGTCGTGTCAAAGTTTTTTTTTTCGTTCTTTTGTTACACTTATTGAGCTTGCATAATAAAACACAGCTTCTCCATTCATATTGACTCGGTATAACGTGTTGTTTTGTGTTTCAGATCATGTTCCAGTACACAGCTCGGTATTCTCCTCTCAGAATCGAGCATCTTTTTGCATCTATTAATTCAACGAATGTACAAGAGAACTCTACCGATGCAGATATGGCTGGTTAAAGATTTTGATAATATGAATTCTTGAAGAACTCTTTTTTTTTTTCTTTGAGAAAATTAATATATTTGTAATATGCTTATCGATTTGCTGTGTGAATTTTTTTTTCTTTTTTTTTTTTGCAAGAATACCCAAACAACATTTCTTTTTTCTTGTATTAGAGTTTGTAAATTATGGCTGGTAAGAAGAAAATGATAGATACACTATCCTAGTACAATAGAACAAAATCCTGGGTTCGCGCGAAATTTATATGCAGTTAAGGAAGTTGGTAAGTTTTCCCTTTTATTTATGGGTTCATTAGATATAACCCTCTTAGTCTCACAAATAACAGGGGTAGACTCAAACTCAAATTTGTCATTTTGATAAAAATCCATATTTTTCTAAATTCTATCAGTACACTTAATCAAATCCCACAAATCACGTTACTTTACCTTTTGAATAATATCAAATCCCTCCCTATTTTCCCGTTAAAATACTATCCCCACAAAACCCACTACCCAAATCTTCAACCTCCCAAAAAAAACCAGAAAAATTATACGGTGAAGATAGCACGCTATACGGGGGATCGACGTTTCTGCACTCCGACCTCTCTGCATTGGTACGTCTTCGCCGCTTGTTGAAACGCCATCACCCATCGATATGTTGTTCTGTTTTTGCTTAATCGACTGTGACGTTGGTTTAATTGCAGATATTTTCTAAATCGCCTACCGAAATCGAGCCCTAAATCTGTGGTGTTCCAACGGTCGATGGGCAGACATCCACCAGAAGTGATAACCCATGTCAATTTTTTTGTTTAACTGCAACGTGGTAGTCATCTTGTATTGGTATTAATGTAGATCGTTTTAAAAAAAAATTACGTCGTGATATATACATCGTTATTGACTGATGATGTTTGTCTTGGAGGAGGATTCACGTAGTCGCAAGAGGAGGGTTCACGTATTCTGACCAGAGTTGTTTTATATGAGTATCGTAGTTGGTTTACGCAGTAATCGAAATAAATATTTGGTGTGGTCGAATTGATGAAGTTGAAACTGATTGATAGTTGTTTTGTTTGTTTACAACAGTCGATTTTAATGTATTATGTAGTACATTGAAATGTATTTGGTAGTCTATTTAATAAATTATCGTAGTTCGAGGCACATGATGATTTATTATGAACGAATAGGCTTCAACGTGTGTTGGTTTTGTTTGTATGTCGAGAATAACGGGTCGCCTCAAGTTCGTAATAATAATGAAGTTGTTGTTTCTGATGAGGCTGGAACAGAGGGTGGGGTTGAACTAGTTGGAGCTGTTGATGCCACTGGAAGTGAGGCATTGAATGCAGACGTTGTGCAGTTGTCCGACGAAGAAGTCGATTGCATTCCTGATGATAGCGACGATGACATAAACTCAATGAATTCAATTGATTCTGATGGTTGTTATTTTCCAAACCCCCCTAATATTTGATATGCTTAATTAATGTCGTGTTTCGATGTAATGGCTCGGTAACTTCAGTTAAGTGTTAAACCGTTGTAATACATTAGTATACTATTATGAATACCGTATGATACTACCATTATCATTTTATTATACTATTATGAGATTATTAATGTACTAGAGTTTTTTAACTCGACATATTGGTTTGATTGTGTTATGATGTGTTTAAGTATTTTATTGCTTATGTTGAATTACTTACGTTTGTTTTGT